CTCGACGAATCCGATGATCTCGCGTCCTTAGACACACCCCATCATAGTTTTCCTCGGTGGCATCATCGGGACGGAGATGCATTCTTCTTTTGTTTGCGATCTCATCGACGAGGAGTAACGCCTTACGGTTCGTGAGTGTTACACGCTTGAGTTAGTGTACCGCGCAAGTAGATCTATCATCCCGTTCGCCGCGGATTCGTTATTGAACCTAAGACCAATATCACTAGTATCGCGAGTGTCCAACCGCCACGGTTGATTATCAAGCCTGTACTATCCATACTCGTGTTAGCAAACCGTTCCTTTGTTATACCGCGACGATGGCCAGTTCCAATCAAGATTTATCAAACGCCCACAACCCTATAGCTGTCACCTCTCCGACATATAAGATATCGATATCGTGTTTCGAGTGTTTCGTGTTTTACTTCGTGCCACGGAAAGATAATAACCATTACGAAACGCAAGCACGCAGCAGTGCACACCGATACAATTTATCTGTTAATTTGGTAGATAAATTTCGTCGGACAGCAATTCAATTTCCGGACTTGTTACACTCGCATTTCCGCATGTAATTTCCGATTAGACGCAGTGAAACTGGTCAACTGCTTTTCATCTTTCTCCTTAACATTTTTCTACAAAAGACTACCATGCACGTCCTGAAATCGTTTCTGTTCACGCATGGGAAGTCCAATATAGAACCGCCGACGCATTCGCCGGCAATGATCTAGATCAACCAATGGAAAAGGTAAGCATAACATACCCAGGCAAGAGAGCAGGAACAACGCCTTCTGATGTCCACAATCGTATAACGAAACCGACGCATGCTGCCAGACACACGATAATTGAGCCCACAGGTTCCGAGCACAACCTGTGGAATTCTTCTTAATTTCGCTTTCTTTTTGCTTTTGCCAGAATTTCGTCTGGTACGGTCGCGCTTCGAGGTAGCCGTTCTTAATTTCATTCTTCCTGTGAGGTATAGATCTTCTTACGCAGAGCGGCGGGGCGATTCATAATTCGACGCGCGGAGCATCAATCATTGCTAGTTTTTGAAGTCTCAAGCAATGTTCAGGCCGTTGAACGATTCGACTTCGCAACCGAATTTTTGCGTTTAGCGCTGAGTAAAAAATACACGCGATTGGATGTAACACTGTATACGAATTGTTACGCGTGCCTAGCCAACTGCCTCGCGATCCGTCGAACGTCGAATCCTGTTTCGAACAGTTGTTTTCAGCGCAAACGTTCCGCTAAACAAATCGAACGAAGAGAACAACAGCAACAGTAAAATATGATCTGAAAAAGTGACAAAAGAATACACGAACAAATACACAATTTTTTGAACAGGTTAAGTTACGCCTGCGACAATAAGTTCTACCAACATTTTAAAAATTCAAAAGACGCTGCCGCCGACAGAGTAGGATATCTGTATTTCACCGTTTTAGGGACACAATGCTTCCGAGAAGATTATCCTGCTTCTTGCAAAACTCAAACCCCATAAGTGCGATTAACGTGATATCTAACGTGAAATTTTCTTCTAACGACGAACATGCAAGCGTTCGAGTTGAGATTATTAAAAAAATTTGTTCGTATGATTGTTGGCAGCATTGGGCGTTGTTTGGAGTAGGAGTTTGATAAAACTAAAGCAAAGGAGTATCAGAGTGGTTTGACGTGCAACAGTTCTAGTAAAATTTCGGCGAACCTCGAGGATGTTTGCTATTCGATTAGTGTTGTCAAATAAATCTGCTAATAAATATTAATCAACATATTAAAACCCGATAATGTATGATAAAGTTACAAAATATATAGCTGTATAAAGATAAATATTGCATTCTGCCAAAATTACGACATTTTAAAAACATTTTGAAGAAGAAGATAAATTATTTTTACGCGTATAACTCTCGAATGGGAGCGAGTAGCGTAAGAGATAAGCGAGCGGAGTTGAATCGGCTTTATTGTACAAAATCCACACGATTTTCTCCATTTTATGAGAGATGGTATACGGACAGCTGGAGGCTAATGAAGTATTTCCCGCCTCCTATTCATCTATATGGATTTTCGAATGCGCGTAAGTACACAGACTTTGCATCGTCCTCGGAAATTTCAATCTCGATCAAAATGGTAGAACGAATTTTTCGATTTTTAGAATGAGACCGCCACAAGCGAGAAAATAAAGCAAACAGTGATCGGTGATACACATGACAAAACCAAAGATAGGATAAAGGAGCCGCCAAAAATAGGCCACCTAAATAATTTTTTCAATTTTTCAGATACAAAGAAATGTTTGAAACAAAAGTTGCTTGGTTTTCAGGTGGACGTGTTTATGAATTTTGAATGCTACCTCCATTTTTTAAATGAAATCACACATTTTTAAATGCCTATATATTGCGCAATATACATATTTGCCTATCTTATGTTTTATCTTTTCATTTACATTTGAAAAATGAAATGTGAATGATATAAGATATGAAAATTGAAAATTAGAAAAATGTAAGAGACGAAACTATAAAGATTACTTTTGCTACGTATCTATGGATCGAACGAATAAAAGCATGCCGGCTGCCGATCCATCGTCTCTGCCGGTTATTATCTGTCAAGGGAACAAAATTTACATGAAATTGAAATTCATTTGAAATTTAATATTTTGATATTGGCTTATACGAAAGATACGAGTAACTGATATTTGTTTATTATGAAAAAAAAAAAGAAATATGATTCCCATTTAGACGCATAAATCTGACCTTTGCGGTGACCTTTTCAAGTTCGTTGCAAGATATAATTAATATCGGTGTAACTTGTTTCTCTCGACACTGTACAACATTTATTTCAAATATTTTCCCGTATCGGCTAGAGTTTTCGAGATATTTATACGTTTCCAGGTAAACGAGGCTAACGTTTAGTTTAGTTTAGGAAATTTGGCGAATTTTTAATGATTGAAAAATGAGGTATATTTGATGAAATAAGCAATACGAGGTTGTATGTTGTAGTAAATTGCGAGGATGTGAAAAACACTGTGACTTTTATCGAAATCGGTATTTTAGAATATGAGACACGAAGTCGTACACATATATCTATTCTGTTCGTAGTTAGGTCCTTGATACTCATTTTGGATGTAATTGTAAAAAATGATCGTACCCGTAAGTAAAACATCGACGGAATCCAAAAATCATGCAACGTTTTCGTGTTATTCGTCATGAATAAATATGGTTGGATGTTTTCAACTATCTGTCTGCGCTTGCTGGTGCATCTCCAACGGTTGTTGCGTTTGACCAATGTAGGTGTAGTATGTTTCTTACAAGCGTTGAATGAGTTACAATTCCGACTAGCTGTTGCATGTGACCAGTTTAAGCGCGTGCTGGATGAACTCGAACAATTCGAAATCCTGTTTCATCTTTCTAGGCAGTTCCACAAATGGGGCATCAAAATTAACGAAAATAAATCCACACATGTAACCTTCACCCTGCGAAAACAAACCTGATCTCAGGTGATCATTAATAACATTACAATTCCTAACAAGGATTGAATCAGATATCTGGGCATGACTCTGGACAGGAGAATGACACGGAAACAACACATCATAGACAAATCGAAGCAACTCAAGGCCAAACTTAAAAAATTCTACTGGCTCATTGGCCGATGTTCCGACTTAAGCACGCAGAACAAAATTACGCTCTACAAGACTATAATAAAACCTGTCTGGACCTACGGAATCCAACTATGGGGAATAGCAAGTAATTCCAACATTGAAATACTTGAACGCTTCCAATCGAAAACTCTAAGATCCCTAATAGATGCACCCTGGTATGTTACCAACGAAACAATACATCGCGACCTCAAGATACTCACAGTCAAAGAAGGAATAATAAAATGTACTAATAGATATATCATAAGAGTTAATAACCATCGAAACCCCCTAGTTACTAAATTACTTAATACGTCGGACCAGATCCGCAGGCTAAGAAAACACTATCCTTTAGATCTAAGCACTAGATTCAACTAGACATAAACTTATTATAAATAATTAGTCATGTTATTGCGCCACGCCAGAGAAACTTACTCAAAATTCTCAATGTGACAATTGATTGTAAAGTACTTGTAAATAAAAAGAAAAAAAATCTTTCTAGACAGATGTTCTACTTTCTCTTTCACTTTGGCTTTTAAGGAAATAAGATTTGTAATATTAGTAACGGGAAGAACGCAGCAGTGAGTAAATTGTTGCTTGGAAACCTTGCAATATTATTACCGTCACATTCAGGAATCATTGAGGATACTCGAGGAATATGGTATATCGCAGATGTGTTTGCCCTAGAGCCTTTAGCGGTTAGCCAAGAAAATCATTTTGGTCATCCAGAGGACTCATTAGCCTTTGTGCGTTCAGTCGGAAACTGAACGACATATAAAATACCTACTGTTTAAATCGTAAATATTTAAGGATTTAATTACTGTACAACAGATTTGAAAGTTTCATGCCACGGATTGTCATACATAACTCTGTTGTGAACTATACTGTTTGAAGTCTCACCTATATAAAAACAAAGAGATCTTCACGATGTACATCGATTTCAGTGGATCCTTCGATACCTGAAGAAGGTAGCTGCAGTAGTAGGGAAACGTCCGGAGGAAATTCCTTTCGGACACGGCTCTTACCCAAGACCCTCAAACAGTTTTGTTCACAAGAGTGTTATATTTAGTTAGACAATAAACTTTAAATAGTAACTCGAACGATGTTGTAATAGGCAGTCCAGAACTAGGTGCAGTTATACTCAGAGCTGAAGAGGCCTTGATAGTTATTTTCGTACTCTTTCTATGGGCTGCGGCAATTGCATTATTCTTCAATCGATGGGGCAAGATAAGAATGTTGGAACCATCTCAACCGAAATTCCTGCCACAAGACGAACAAAATTGTACCACGATTGAACAAAATCAACTACAGGTAATGCATAAATATATATTTTATTTATAATTGATACTTTATGACTATACGTTAATACTGTGTACTGTGTATTGACCTTCGTGCTGTCTAATGCTGAGTTCAGACTGGCTAAAATTGTTTGCAAGCTATTCATAGTTGTAGCGTTGTTACTCGTTTAGTGTTGGTACGCGCAGCCACTTGTTGATTTTGTTCGTCTATAAATCTCAATATATGTGAAGATTTGCTGCTCGTATTGCATGTAATTGCGTGTTTCATAGTAAAAACAGATAATGTTAGAAGAAAAAATGATTTAGAGCATCGATGCTGGAAGAGAATAAATTTTGATACAAGAGACAAATAATTTATTAAAAAACGAAGATGAATTGAAAAATTCTATCGAAATGTCATATGACAAATTACTCGGACCTATGAGAAATTACTTACCATAATCCAATAAATATTAGAAACAAGTATAAATTTTCGAATATCAATTTCAGTCAAAGAAGGAATGTTGATTACGTTAAATTTTCTATCAACGAACGATTCTCACGCTGATTGTTCAGAAGGCAGTAACATCGAAGTTTACAAGCTGCTTTACATCTGCTCATAAGTTATTTGCAAATAATACGCCAGCTCTACTGCAGGCACGAATACATCTGGATCCTGCATTATAATTGGTACCTTTGATGCAACGTCTCTTGAATAAGGAGTGTTCTCTGTTCACTACTCGTTGTTCACAAATAAGTTCACAAGTGTCCAAAGCTGTTGACGAACGTAATTTGTAAACAACAATGTGGACCTAACGTAAGATGATCGAAAGACTCCTACACAATCCTAATTAATTATATAGTAGTAAAAATTTTTTACTTGAGACTGACTGAATTATTGATGGCATCTTCTAATTGAGACGAACTAATTGAAATTTCTTAACTCAATTAGACATTAATGGCTGCGTCCTGATTGGCGTTCCGCTCAACTAACAGAATTTAATTGCTCTAAGCTTTCTGGTTGAAACTTACTTAACGAATATTTAACGATCAAATCCAACGAGAATAACATCCATACGTTACTCTTAATCAAGGTATAACAGCTTTCTGAACGTCCGCCAGGACAAATTGCAGGAAACTTCATATAAAAACATAAAAAGAAAAATATAAAGATAAAAATCAAATCTAAAGACAAAAATGTCGAAAGATCTTAGTCAATTTTTATCAATCTTTCAAATCATCTATTATTATTTCAGAGATGCTTGACCCGAATGCAGCTATCTTACATCATTTTCCACCAAATCGAGGTTGTACAATGCGACTATAAAAGTAACATACAATTTCTTAATACCCAACATATAATCCACTACCAACAACATTCATCCTTAAAAAAATGTACCGCATTCTTCCCGTAATTATCCTATGCGAAATATTATACATTTATAACTTGTGTTGCAGGACCGCATATTATTTATTGCTAAAATTAGTTGCTTTCAAACTTCTAGTTCCTTATCAGAAAGAAAACAAAAAATACTTTGTTATCGGTATCACAATAAATCGCTGCATTTCTATCAACTTTTATTACTTGACACGGACTTGGACACACACAAACACGTGCGCGCGCGCAGATCACAATATGGATTGTTTTCAAACCTTGCACTTCTGGAATGCTATTTTACTTTTACCGTCCACCGATTCATTTCTGATTTCTTCGTCGTGATTCCAAATAACCACTATGTATTTATATTGACATTTCGACTTTATCATTTACTAGATTCAAATTTCCTACTACAATTTTCTAGACAATTTTCTATTCAATTAGAGACTTAACTTCTCGAACATGAAATGTAAAATTTAGGGAAAAATGTTTCATTGAAAAACATGGATTGAGTAAATATTTTTTACATCCACTGTCCGGCATACATACGTACATATGCATAAATTCATAACGGAAAGGAGCAACGCAACAACATATAACGTAGATATAACAAACACGAGAGAAATGTTATGCATTAATGTTTAAAATATGAATAATATATTATATACGACACACTCTTATTAATTATGTATTAAATAATTAATAATTAATAGAAGAGAAGAAATCGAAATTTTCATCCAACTAGGGAACTGGATTTTTTATATTTCTCAATATATTGAGAAATATTCCATACTGAAAGGCTGAATCTTTTACACATTCAATTCATTTCAATGGAAGGATGTTGCAAAAATCTGAATTACCATTAAATAAATTAAAAATTAATGGACAATTTATTTTCTATAGAAATTAAACTGATTTTTGAGATATTAAAGTTTCCAAATGGAATACTGTTTTTGATAAAAGTTTGATTTATATGTAAACAAAATGATATAGACATGTATACATCATAATCTTAATTATACCTAGAATAATGATCTATTCATCTTAATTTTATATAAAACGTAGGTAATACTTTTCAAATCTGTATCATATTTTACCCTGTTCATCGCGACTTTCTCTAAACAAACCATCGTTCTTTAAACAAACCACTCCAAACACGAATGTAGATTACAAAGATCAATTGAACTGTTTACAAGTGGCGATCAAAATTAATTTACAAATCATCTGTTTGTTTGTTCACAGAACCGACGCACATTCTCGAAATGCAATATTCTTTGCGAAGAGTGTCCAATAAAGCACGACTCGAACTACGCTTTGGGACAAATGAGACCGAGGCAAAACAGTGCGTTCATTGGTTCCAGCGTGTCCTTTCTCCCAGGTGGCGGAGGTACAGCGCGTCGCACGAAAAGCGCGTTCGACCTTCAATTTTCCGTGTTTACGGAAAATAACACGCTCGACTCCTTCAGTGAACAGGATACTTTAAAGAATTTTAAGCCGGCCTGCGATTCCACGAAATTATTGCTAGACGAACGAAAGACAAGCGTCTATCAGCTGGACAAAACCGGGACAACCAAATCTTTTTGTCGAAACAGAGGAATAAGTGTTTGTCAATTCGATACTTCGCCAAAATTATGGCAACGAGATCGTGGAATGAGCATCTGCCAGTTCGATAGGATGGAGGTTCTCGCCAGGCCATTGCAGAGAGATCGCGGTGGAAGTATCTGTCAATTCGACAGAATGGACGTATTAGCCAGATCACTGCAGAGAGATCGCATAGGTAGTGCTTACCATTTTGACAGAATGGATGTGTTGGCCAGACCTAATGTAACTCTTGATAAATTCTTGTTGAGAGAAAAACGCGTTAGTATGTGCAACCTTTTGGGAAAAAATGAGAAAACGACAGAAGGAATTCAAATGGAACGGCATTTAAGCAACGGCAACGTTGGGAAAATCGGGGAAAAAGATACATCGGGCGAGGAAGAGAGAGGCAGGATTATGGCGGAGGAACAAAAGACATTTATTAAGCAAATACCCAAAGAGAAGAAAAATAGCTTTTGTCGATCGAACCAACCATCTTGCAGCCAAACTTCTGATACTGCATTTGGATATAAAGGTACTTGCGTGTAGCGTGAGAACTTGTAGAATTCGTCAAGGAAGAGCTGCAATTGTGTGACACAATTTCCAAGATAATGGTTTTGTTCGGAAACGATCTCAAGATTGACATTCTTGCGAATATATCATACATATGTATGTATATATAACGAATTAATTACTCGTTTTGAACAGAATTAACATTGTATTTAAATATTAAGTATGTATATTGCTTTTGATATGAACACTTTCAGTTCGCTTATATTGTTTCCTGTAAATGAAATGTTGGACAAATTTCTAAGAGAAACATGAAATTAAATATTGTACAGAATAACCCAGGTCAGTATTTTACCAAATTATTAAAAAACAAATATCTTACACGTATTTTTAAATTTATAAGGAGGAACGACTCGTTACTGAACGATCGTACTAAATTTATATGAAAAAATTATATAATCTGTACAGCTAACAGCTAAAAAATATTTTGTCAGGATAAAAAAATGTCATGGAAATAGATGAAAACTACAAATTACAATAAAATTCAAGGAATTAAAAAATAATGATAATAAACAACGTGATAATCTGTCTTTCAAATATAGAGGAAAGATACAAATATCTCGTATTTTATTTATTCTTTCGAATTTTTATTATGTTATTCGAATTCATTCTTATCCTATTGTATATTTATCCATTAGTGATGAATAACATTTGATTTATCATTTTTATTCGAATTTTCAGTATCCAAATAACTTTTTTACTATATCTTACTATCCCTTACTATAATGTAATAATGTAATAATTTGAAGTGCGAGTACTAAATGATAACAGTTGCAACGTTGTAAATAAGTAGTTGACCGGATTTATAAAGAAAGATATTCTTTTAAGCATTGCAATTTATACTTCTTTTCTCAAATGAAATATATTTACTAAAATCTACTATAGTTTTAGTCTTCAGCTATTAAAGTGAAAGATATTCAAAGAATATTCGATTTCAAAAACTACAGCGAGTCACGAATAAAGCAACTAATCATATTCAAAATCATATAGTAAAGGTATTGTTGAAAAGAGAAATTGAATATACTAAATATTCTGCCGTCTTCCATATAAATTTATTACAAAAAAATTTTAATTTATTATTTAGTTACAATGCATCCATTTATAACTGTCATCTACTGAAAGACTAGCTATTAAATGTTGTACGGGAAAGCCGTTTTATATTTCCAAGTCAACCGTGTTTTATATCTCACAAAAAGCAACATCTACATATTCGAGAATGGCAATATATTTTTAAATGTAAACTACTGTTAAGCAAGTGCTACTTGTATAATTATCGAAAAGATAAGTTATCCATTGATTTATGTTATTATTTACTTTTTTCTATGTAATTTATGTATAATTTGAGACCACTTCTGCAAAAAGAACCTTGATAACCTTATATCACTATATATAATTAGCTATTTATATAATTTATAGCATTTAATTTCCGACAGTCTAGGAGTAATAAAGTTTCATCTCTTCAATTGTAGAAAAACCTGGAACTTTAACATTCTTCGATCGTCTAAAACCTCCATTTTCCATCAAATATGTTTTTGAATTAGAAAAGTTCGTTTGCGATAGATAAATAATCTTTATCACTAATTGTATCTATATAAAATCTAAATTTGTGAGTCTTCTCAAGCGCAATAAGTATTATTAAGTTTTACTGCAAAATATTACATCGTTTACACAGAATTAATCACATTTATTGCAAAATTTCAAAGTTTAATATATAATAATAAATAATAATAATATAGTGCAATTTTTCAGCGTTTCTTTATTAAAATCAAAAATCAAATTAAAACTTAAGAAAAATATTCCTCGGGCCCAGCAAACTTCTCTACACGAACCTATGGAGCATCCTATGCACGAGAGCCACAGCGAGTCTCAAGTTCAATAATGTCCGCCAATTTACCTCTTATCGTAATGAAGAAAGCTATAACTATATAACATCCAGTAGCACACAGGACTCTGTATATTGCATATTATTTCGTTAAAAAATTAGCGTACCTTATACACGCAAATTTTCTCTGTGATTCTTTCGTTGCACTTATGTAATGTCCCCAGTTTGCCGCTTTCAATTTTTAACTAATTTCACGGAATTTCCACCGAAAGCTTTTCGCTTTTATCTCCGAGTCACGGGTGCCCGTGTCTTCCTTGATTCGTTTTGCTCGCTCGAAATTTTATCCCAGGCTTTATGCGAATTTTATGCAATGTTGGATTTTGCGGAATCTTGCCACCTCCACCTCCTTTAGCATAATTTCTTCTTCACCGAGCTACCCTCTTAAGGAATTTTCAGCGGTCAAACTGAAGTCTTGTTTCGTTCCTTTTGTTTCTGAACTTAGATCGCCATCCTCTCTGACACTCTCCTCTTCGTGGCTCTGCTCAGAGAGGACGAATCGTCGCAGCGTCGTGTAAGAACAATCAACTAGCTTTTCCTGTACGCTTCTTCTTCGTTTTTCGTTCTGGAGATTGAAGCCTCGTTATGTCAAAGCTGCCGCGATTTCGGGGTAATTCCATATGCTCTCTGGCTGTGTACCTACTGTTGCTACTTCTCCTTCTCTTCCATCGCTTTTTATATCTACCAACACCAAGAAAGGTCTTGTTTTGGACAGAACAAGGTCGTTCGACTCTTACATTTTAAGCGATTTGAGATGCGAAGAAAAATGTTATAAGTTTGGATTCTATCGAATGGAGTAAAATGAGATGAAATCATAATCTATTTCATGTAAATCTTAGAGATCAAACTAGAACGCTCCTTGAGGCTACTGCACTATATACAGCTTTGTATCTGTACAAGACTTACCAACGTAAACTATACGTTATCCTATAATCCAGCGGTTGAAACATTAACAGAATTTATTACAATTGTGTATAATAGTTACTTTATACACTGCACTTTATACGCTTTATACACATAATAGTTACTTTATAATTGCACGTTACTTTATACACTGTTATTCGAGCATTAGTAAAAAGAGTGAACGAAAACTACTGTTAAAAAAATATATTCAGTCCCTGGTTACCGAATTAATTCAACCACACGCAGAAATTTCATTTTTCTACTTGTAATGTGTCAGAGACGCATATTCGTATGTATATTATGTCGGATAAAGGACAAATTATCATTGGTTGTTTAAACTGTTTATAGATGATTACGCACATATATACATATAGCAACTATTTAATTTATTATCTCCTTCTTCCACGTCGCTTAATTTTAATAAAAAAATTAAAAATACTGAAAATGTTAAATTTGATTGTAGTGATTATAGTAACCAGAGTCTGTACGTGTCTTTATAAGTGACAGAAAATAAAATACACGTATAAACTTGAAAAACCATCAGCAAGTCTCTGGGAACGAGGTTAACGGCATCGACCGATAATACAGAAAACTAGAGGTCGGATGAACCGTGTCTAAAAGGAAAGCAAACTTTTTCTTTTTTTCGTCAAACATCAACCATGGGACGAGCAGTATATATCGATCGATTTCTTACTGGTCGCGCTACTAGGAATCAATCAAGCCCTCAGGTCGTCGATGCTCTTCTTAACCGACAGTCAGTCTAGAACGTTTCGTGAGAACGTAACACAGCGATTTCCACATCATCTATTGACATTTTCTCCTTCGGCTCCTCCATTCTTCCAAATAGCAAAAAAAGCTCAATGGTAGAAAAAAAAGTTGCTGACACAGCATTCGTTTCGTGGCATTCTTTGTGAATGTCTTTCTGAGTGTCGATAATAAACTATCGAGCACACGTGCTCTCTTCTTCTTCAAACACGATGGCGTTTGCGATCGATTGCGATTTTTTGCGTCTTGTCAAATCTTCTTCGAGTTTTCCTATCGTTTTATAAACTACACACTTCGTATCACGCAACACTTTATGTCCGACATTTTGTTCTTTATATTTTCGTACCATACATTTTTGGAATAAAATGGTGAGCTTTCGAAAAATTAGTGTTGACTATAGACTAAATCCAATTCTGTTCAGTAAACCTTCTAGACCAGTTGAATTTGCCTTCAAACTACCCAAAATTGGGAAAAATGGTAAACAGTATATTTTCTACGAAATGATTTTTGTGTGATGTTGTGATTTTTAAATGATAATTTAATATAATATATATAAAATAAATGAATTTTATTACATAATTTAGCATTTCCTATCTTGCAACGAAGTTTTAATGAGTTTTTAAGTTTTTCTTTTTTTACTTGTTCTGTAGGTGAGTGTACAATATCATTAGACATATGGTTTATAGGAGATTAATCTACTCATTGGTGCATAATATATGTATTATTCATTATAAGAATTAAAGATAATATGTTCTACAGGTTGAGAATGCTCGTGTAGCAGAGCATTGATTATAGAAATAATTGTTTAATATATCCAAATATCTTTTAAATGATGCTTTAGAATTTCATCCATTCTTATTGTTTAATTCTTCTTCCGCTTTTCTTCTACCAATTTTACGTATACATATGTATAGTCTTAATATAACTATAGTAAATATAATATAACAATAACTATATTTTGTAATTCTGAATGGTTGTAAATTCTCATCAAATCAATGTTTTAAACAAATGTCGATACGCATAGTATCTGTGCATGAATTTTTCTATTTTACAAAAGGTGCATTATGCAGCACGAATTTATTCTGTACAATATTGAATTATCTTGATATTTCTGAAGAAGAAACTGTTTAAAAAAAATATGAGAACGGTGTTTCATTTGTGGTTTGCCGCCATGCCGCCATTATTCGTTTGCTTTGATTCGTCACGGCAGTAACGTATCTATAGCTATGCATAATCTACACAGGTACAGAAGTGCACAAGTAACGGCATTATAACTCTACGACTTGACATTACTGTAAACTGTATATTGTATACTTTTCCTGGTAACGCTGATGCGAATTAAAAATGCCCAAAGTACGTAGAAGTAAGAAACCTCCGCCAGATGGTTGGGAATTAATTGAACCGACGCTAGAAGAATTAGAACAGAAAATGCGAGAAGGTAAGAAGAAAAAGAAAATACAGGTTATGACTAGAAGGTTATGTTGATAACGAAATGTTTCTATTTGCTATACGAAATACTATGTCGCGAATAATTATCAACTCAACCCTATTTCTAGATTTTTCATAATATTAAAATAAAAATTTACAAAATCGTTTATATAATTTCATATTATAGTATAAAAGAAAACTGAAGATACAAAACAAATAATATCTTTTTCTTTCGAAGTCTGGGAAAAATATCAACTTAATGCTAATTTTGTTAAGTTTTCATTTAATGTTTAGTGCGTCATCAGGACTCGACGATAGCCATCGCAATAATTCTATTCTGAAATCTTGAAACCATTTTTTATAACACTGATTGTATAAATAGGAGCATCATCTTATTGAAAAAAATTGTCTGTTTGTCTCCTATTCTGTTTATAAAAGACAATAATTTGCCATGCAGCATCTCCTGATATCCTATAACGTTCAATTTATCCTTTACAATAACAATTTCATTTAACACATCCAGCCATGATTAATGGTTTCTTGAAAATATCGAAGAGATAATGGGAAATCTAAATGTGTTTGAGTCTAAAATTATTCTTTTAAATAATTCTAATCTATTGATGTTTGAATCATAGCTGAAACGGAACCTCACGAGGGCAAGCGAAAACAAGAATCTTTATGGCCCATATTTAAAATTCACCATCAGAAATCACGATACATATATGACTTATATTATAGACGGAAAGCGATAAGTCGCGGTAAAGTATCATTGATTATTTCATTTCCTTACTTTCCTCACTGTTATTTACTCTTTTATATGTTCTATGTTTTCAGAATTGTATGATTATTGCCTGAACGAAAATATAGCAGATAGAAATTTGATAGCCAAATGGAAGAAAGTGGGATACGAAAACTTGTGCTGTCTACGTTGTATACAACACAGGGATACTAACTTTGGTACAAATTGTATTTGTAGAGTACCTAAGGGCAAACTCGAAGAAGGCAGAATAGTGGAATGCATTCACTGTGGATGCAGAGGATGTTCTGGATAACATTTAGCAATGACTACAAGATACGTATTTATGTTTCTGTTAATGATATTGCATTGTATATTACCTAAAACTGTATTGCATAATATCGATGACCTATGAAAGTATCAAGTTATAAATTAAAAGCGTATGTACCTTTATTATACCTCATAATTCTCTCTAATTGTACAATTCTCCATCTCTACTGACTAATTCCAAGTATTTTTAAATAGTCTAAAACAACATTGTTGTTTTTATGTAATTGCAGACTTCTTACATTTGAATTTATCATATAAATAATTGAAATGTATGGACGAATTAAAAACTTTTCATCTGAAGTGAAATAGAAAATAAACTTTGGTTGGTATTATTAGATCATAAGTAATTCGCATGAATGAAATGAAGTCAAACTTTGAATTTTTGGGTAATCCAATTTAATTTGTATTCTGTAAATTCATTTGTAAACTTAATATGTACACTTTATTTATCTTTTAGAATTAAATAATATAACTTCAAATATAAAGCACATTCTGAATAACGTGTAGCGATGATAATAAAGATGTGTTTATGTTTTTGCTAATGGTATTGTATCGTAAAGTACCAAAAATCTAACTTAAATTGATTACTTGTGTTCTAACAATTCCAGTTAAAAGTTAACATAAGATAATCTACGTATGTATAAAGATTGAAAATTTTTTAATTATTTTCTAATAAAATAAATAAATCTCTGTTCGATTTGAAAAAGTAAAACTGAACTAGAAGCTGATGCAAGATATGTATCATATTGATAATATATAGATTTTTCGTATAATATAATTTTTACCACTGATTTCAATACTTTTAATATGAAGTGAACGATAACTTTTAATTCTGGTATTTTTTGTAAAGTTCTGTAAAAACCGTCTGACATTCTTTATGAGTAAACGTTTGTGTGTATTGGTTATTTAATATAATAAATCTTTTACCCTTTCGCCAAACTGTAGCAGTTGGTGGTGAGTCACATATCATTTCTTTAATAGGATGACAAATCGTATTTGTTCTTGCAGATAAAAATGAAATAGCCGATCGACATTCTGAAACGGTGAAATCTCTTTGAGAAGTTTGTGTAGCGATTCCAATAATTTGCCAAGAATATTTAACGCTACATTTGTAGACTGATTCGTCATCGAGAAGATTGCTTTCCTTAACTAAATTGTCTAAAAGTGTCTGTGATGTTTGTGAACTTGTACCAATGACCTGCCAAGAATATTTTATCTTGCACATACGGCCGTAGTGCGAGTTTGTACTATCCTGATATTGAGATCGATTGTTCCGAAGAAACGATAGAATCGAATGGCCAATGTTCTCTCGAGAATGATGCCGAAAATTACGCGTAGCCAACATTTTACTATGCATAGTCTCTATCGTATCGGGTCCGTTCATTTTTAAAAAATTGTCTGATGTCGAAACATCAAACATGGTAGACTGAAGTTGATTAAAGGCTTCCGATTCGATATGTGTAATTGGATACTTTAATTCTTTTCCACAATCAATGATATTATTAGAAATTGTTCCTCTTATGGCTACGTCGATATTTTCCAAGACAGATTCACAATAAGGATCAAAAATACATTGTTTTTTAACGTCTTCTCTCTTCGTGGTCGCTGTTGGATTTGTTGAACTTAATGTAATTGAAACATTCGAGGTGTTCCTTGACATAATTGAATTATTGATATTGTTTTCCATCAGATGTATCTTTTCCTTAGAACTTGATGACAAATATTTAGTCCGAGTAGTATCATTCTGCGATCGACGAATAACATTTTCTGATTCGTGTAATTTCAATTTTTTATCATTACCGTTTGTTTTTGGAAGATTCGATGAGATGCGATTAATACCGCCAGTTATTGTTTTCTCATTAATTTTATCCATTTTCTTCCGTTTACTTGTTTTAATTGCGTTTTCATCCATTGCAGGAGAGTAACGTTTGAACGAAGTCAAAGGCAGATCAGAAATCGATGAAGGAAATATCAATATTTGTTGCTTTTTAATTTCTGGTTGCTGAGAGAAATTTACTTTCTTAATGTTTACAAAACTGTAACTTCTATTAATCGAACGTAACCGTTTTCCTGATGTTTCTACTTCTTTGTGTTTACTTACTATATTAGTCTGGAAACACATTAACGTTGCATATTAGGCTATGAAATTTCACTCTATGCGAACTTTGTTTTAATATTATCGTCTGGAATAGTAATATAGAGAATGGAGTTCTTGCAACCGTTAGAAACAATAACTATTTTACCTTTTATTTAATATTGGATAATAGTAAAACATTTAATTGCGTTTATTTGATTTTATTGATATATATATAAGAAAAAAATATATATATATATTGCAGTGAAATTTCACTTATGATAGCGTAAATATAATTTTCTTTGATGATAGAGGTTTGCTTTAAAAAAATGTTCTCTTTAATTTTAGAAATCTTGTATCTATGCGCGCGTAGGAGAAATCAAAAATGGAAAGACGAGAAAAACAATAACTCAGCTTAGATGAATAACCTGGTTCGGATAGGGTATTGGATCTGTACAGCTTTTTACTAGAAGGCTATATGGTTTCTTTAATAATGGCATCGTTGCGCCGTTATTACATTGGTATAACTTAACGAAGTCCACTTTTGGTACGGAAAAATTGCACTGCATTGCATCACCACGTTTCTTCGTAAATATGGTCCTTGTTATCGGTACAAAAACATTTTCCGTAATCACTTCCACTTTTGGTGCAATCAATTTTTTCGATTTTAACGAACTCCGTATACGGTTGCTTTTTGCGCTACCTTTTAACTCCATTGCCTTTCCTAATCGAATGTTACATACTAACCTTTCCAGAACTAAATAATTTTTTAGCCTGTAATATATATTAGGATGTAACAATAAAAATTACTTTTTATAAATTATTAATTGTAGAAACGGAATTTGTCGCATAGTATTGTAAAGAAGACTATAATCCACTAAAATTTACTGAAGATGAATACATTTATTGTCGATAACTTACTTTAATTGTTAATTGATATTTTACTAAAACACAATGTTGCGTATACATAACATCAAATGTGAAAAAAGGATATATGATTTCCGTGTGTTTATTTCACTTATGCAATTTACTTTTCAATTTGTCACATCTCCAAGATAGGTAAAATTAAAGACCAGTTTTAAGTAAGTAGGAACGAAGGTTAAAGTTAAAAAAAAAAGAGAGAGAAATAGGAAAGAAAAGAGAAAAGCCGCACACATTTTATCGTAATTCTCTTATTTCATATGAAAAATTTTCATTAGATCTTCATTAATTCTAGTAATTCCACCTGTTTCCAAAACAGCTGGTCAAGTGCTCTTGCACTGCATTGGTAGAATGTGATGCTACACCATTCTACACAAACCATCTCTTATTGCGTGTAGAGTTTCACGTGCCCAGAAATGTTCGTTACGTATATTTGTTGTTCCACATTTATTAAATGTTGTCTCATCAGTAAATAATATCCTTACGGGGAAACTGGAATTGCGTTAAATTTTCCGATTTGTCGTTATTTGCAAAGATTATTTCTTCTTGAATTTTCTCGAATACGATGCAGTTTTCTATCTCCCAGATTCGGATTGTGCTGAATTCGCCTTATCTTTGAAATATCTTTGCGTTGGGTATAGTCCTATTGAGATATTTTTTCGGCGTATAAATTTTGCATTTTTATGCTATTACTGTCCGCCGCACCGTAACAAAACTGTATGTCCGAAAGTTCTCTAAATGTATACATATTGTAATAAATATGGCTAGAAATGTCGCTATAAATACAACTACACTGCACACAACATTTACTACGCGTACAATACACGCACTACGCGTACAATACACGCACTACACACACAATGCACCCAAGTAACACCCTAACTTGATATTTTCAGATCTTTGAAGGTTCTTCGTCGACCGTTGGAATGATTCTGTTCTTCAAAAATTATTCCTACCCTCTTGCTTCAAAATGACTAAAACTTGGCAATGGTTTATTCCGAAAAAATTTACGATATAAGGGTATGGTACTGAGAAGGCGAACAGGCTGTGCACCAAATATGTTTAAAAATAAGCGCAAACCTATTTTGCACAATTTTCAAACTTTACATAGCTAGGGATTTATTAGTGATGGTCATTGGGAAAGTGGACTTTCTGTTTATAAGATGGGTTTCGGAAATATCTCAATTCTTCAAGCCTTATTGTCTTCAGTTTTTATAACCGTAACGTATTTTAAGCATGGAAAGAAAAAATAACATAAAAAAGAAGCATAACTCTTGCATTTATTATTTAATTTGGAGCAAACACTGTAACTATATTCGTGGAATAATATAAAATATTAATTCAACATTGTGTAGGAACTGTTGAAAAACTAACTATAAGTTTTTCGGTAAATATTCACTTTTCATCACAAAATTTATATCTTATATATATATAACGATAAGTTTGTTCATAATTACAAAATTCTACATTATGAAGATTAAAACTGTGTTACCGATTACTTCGCCGGGTCTGCTCCGAAGGTAAAACATTTTCAAACAGGAAAGAACGTTAGTCCGCTACCCGTCAGAAATGTTTTACCATTGACTAAAAATTGGATAGAGCATGCATGCAATGCTTAAGAGTGTATTAGTACTGAATGTATTAGTACGGCTGTATTAGTACTGAGTGTCCTACTGATTATGTAGTCCCTCCATAGTGATATTCCGTCCGTCCAGATTGATTTTATGATCGTTAGCCAATGCATTTGTCTCCTTGCTATCTGTATTTTGTCTATTATTGATTTGATATGCTGTTTCCATGTGAGTTGTGTATCTATGTGCAGTCCTAGATTCTTTCTATGCTTGATCTGTTAATCGTTTTCACTGCCAGCCGATTCGGGTACGTTGCTATTCTTTCTCTGTACCTTCTTGCACATCTGCTAATCTCCTCCTTGACCGTTGGTATTCCCAGGTCTTTCCGAATATCCTCGTTTCTAACGTACCATGTGGCGTTTACTATTGTGCTAAGAATTTTAGCTTGCATTGTCTCTATTTTGCTTATATGACTCATTGCTGCTGTTCCCCATAGTGATATTCCGTCCGTCCAGATTGATTTTATGATCGTTAGCCAATGCATTTGTCTCCTTGCTATCTGTATTTTGTCTATTATTGATTTGATATGCTGTTTCCATGTGAGTTGTGTATCTATGTGGAGTCCTAGGTTGACTTGCCTTGTTTGTATTATGTGAGTGCCGTTCAGAATGTGTGAATGTAATATGGTTACATTTATTGGGGTTTGCTTTAATTTGTTTAACTTGTAGCCACTTTTCTATTTTTTAGCCAAAAAATTCTACCAAATGTCCAAATCGGACAAATTGTAAATGTAAACAATTAAATAAAAAATAATGTCGTGAAATCGTACGTTTGATTCTTATTTAAAAAAAAAAAAAAACTTTTCTATTTTTGTGATATGTTCTTGCAGTAATGTAACTGCTGTTACAGGATTAGTGTGCACTGTGACTAGTACAGCTGTGTCGTCCGCGAATGTCAGTATTTTGCTATTAGTTAGTATCGAGTGGCGGATATTTTGTTGTCGAGTGCCGCCACAAATTCTATATTTACTACATTGTTCTTGGAATTCTAATTGCTCGTAGAATTTTAACAGCACTCCCTTGTCGTTTCTATTTTAGAAATCACCAGCCACAATTACGTTTCCGAGCGAAATTATTGGATACTCTGTACCTTCGAATTATCTTTCATCATCATTATCCGCTGTCGCGTACGTGCAATTTCGAGTCATAAATTTAGGTTCAAGCATGCTGCATAATTTGCGTACAATTAATGGACGAGCGAGTGTAATCAGAACGCGATAATTACGTGGCGATAATTGAAGCTGGCGAGGACACGCGTGCAAACTAGAAGGTATTTTTCGATTCTTATTCGCTTGGTTCCCTAGGTTTGTATCTTCGAAGAAAAGTTTTGCCAACGTTTTAAAATCAATATTTCGTTGAACTTTTGAAATTTCCAACGACGTCGGTACTCCGATAAAATCGAGCGCAAAAAGCCAAGGACGTGCACAAACGATCTCGAAACGAAAGCAAATATTAAAGTTCTCTCTTTCGAGCGCTCCTGAATCTTCTAAAAGATGCAGCAAATGCAAAGGAGGAAAGAGGGGTCTTGCACGGAGCAAGTACGGCAGTTTCAAAGACAGAAGGGTGGTTTTTTGGATACAAGGCTGGCACCCTTCAAAGGAAGAAGGGAAACTCGACGATTGCTCGGTCCAATTAAAGTGGCGCCTAGCGCTTGGCGATGAGTCAAGTAGTGCGTAGAAATAAAGCCAGCAGCGGGAAAAGAGAGCGGAGGAAGAAAAAAGAAAGGAAGGGGCTCTCCTTCCTATTTTCCCCTCTCTTTTCCACCCACTTCCTATCCCTTTTCTTTCTCGTTCTCTATGCTTCGCCCATTGGTCGAATAAGCAGCGTTGCCAGGCGACAGGAGCACTGGCGACCCTCGAGGATGTCACGCAGCGTGCACGCAAAGAGAACAGCCAGCAGCGGGAAAAGAGAGCGGAGGAAGAAAAAAGAAAGGAAGGGACTCTCCTTCCTATTTTCCCCTCTCTTTTCCACCCACTTACTATCCCTTTTCTTTCTCGTTCTCTATGCTTCGCCCATTGGTCGAATAAGCAGCGTTGCCAGGCGACAGGAGCACTGGCGACCCTCGAGGATGTCACGCAGCGTGCACGCAAAGAGAACGAACTTTTGACCTTTTAAGGGTTTCTCCATCCACCGCAGCTCTACAATCTCTTCACGACGATGGTTGTATGGACAGTTTCGGGGTTAATGTACCCTGTGAAAAGCACAAAATTTGATGGACGCGCATCAAGTAGGAATCCGCAATTTATTCTTATCAAAACAACGTGTAGCGTACAAAGTAAGAAGCAGATATACGTCTATCGTGTAAAAATGGATTAATTTAATATTTATTTAAAGAAATTGTCAAGATGTTTCCTGAGTGTCACAACCTTTCGAGTGAGACAAAAATTTCGTCCTATCGTAATCGGATCATGATCCTTGCACCATAACACATCGCAGCTAAACAATGCAATTTTACTATGACTATACCATAACTATAGATTCTATTGAACTACGCGAACACAGTGGCCACGGATATACAATGGTTAAAGATTATGTTCAATTGTATGAATTGGCAATGTAATTAATTACAATGGTTATATAATAAATTACTCTACGTGTATACCTGTGTATGTGTTTAAATACATAGGATTGGATATTATTTAGTTTCTCTGAAACCGGCCCGCGGTATTAGATCTTCGTTCTTCATTGGTAAGATGCAGATATTCGCCATCGACCGTTTGACAACCTCATTAACTGTCCTTATTGAGATGATTTTGGTAACGCCATCCTTGTCTTGATGCAATCTCGGTGATACGGTCGAACCTCCAACGTAAAGGAGGAAGGCAATCCTCCTTCACCACCACTATAGTGCCGAGGCAAAAATGCTCTGGAGTAGCGATGCGAATAGCATCCACGAAATTTCCACCGTTGTTGGAATAAATTTCTCTAATTCATATAGAATAATTTCTAAATTTCTCTGCGTGCAATGAACCACTAAAAAGATTTTAAGAATGCGTCTGTGGACTCGTAAACATCGACCGACTGCAAAGGATCATCCCTCCATAAAATGTTACAATGACCATTGCTCGGGTGTTATAAGAATTTGATTATACAATTATACACGTCTTAACGCCGTGCCCTGTATGAATTCTCTAATTTATCGTCGGCTGTGCGCAATGGACGTTTAAGCCTCTTAGCGCTAGCTAACAATACAAGACGCGATTGTTTTTCTGAGGGTCGCACTTATTGTTAGTATGTTCGTTCAAGAAACGCCTCCAAATCTACTAAAGTTTCCATACGGCATTATAGTTGTCGTCGGACATTGCCAATGTTTCAAGCGTGTCAGCAGATTCTCTCTTTACTACAGACTTTAAATATAAATAGTGAAATCGTTCGATGATGCTCAAGCATTTGTTTCGATTGATCAGCGATTCGAAGTTATTGCGGAAGTACAAACAAGTGATGCGTGAAAGACAGTAGAATGGACCATAAATTTACAGTAGCCGCAGCTGCGGACACTGTAGGAGACGCACTCATTTTTAATTGCCTGATTCGCGCTGTTAAGCGCGAGTGGCCCTTCGAAACATATAATGATCTATACAACTGCGAGCCTCTTGAATCAATTCACAATAAAACGTTACAACATTTTCCGTTAATAAAATGTGATTTTCCTCCTCCTCACTTCCCTCGACGAGGAAGGAATGAATTTGTTTCTGAATATACAGAAAGCGGTCAATCTGCCATGCGCACCTATTTGTCCAATCATTAATGGTCTCGAGAGATGCTATCTTTCCATGCGTTGTCCAGAAACATTTAAATCTCAAGAGGCATGCTGTAGCCACAGAGCGTGAGGCATGCTCTAGCCATAGAGCATTGACGTGTCAGCGTAATGAAAGCTTCCTCCCTTTCTGGATCCATCGTTCAACGCAAAACAAGCAATATACAAAACTCGACTCACTGCAATGTAAGTTCACGAAGATGTTTGTTTGTTAACGACTGCAGGTTCCACACCTAGCTACTGCGATGAGCCTCGTCTTGAGTTTCCAGTACACTGATTACAGATAAATATCTGTCAACTGATCTCTGGGTCCAGGATGTGCTTCCTTCTAATCTGACTCTCGACCTTCTCGCATGTGGTGTCTAGCTGGCTCTGCCCCTTCTTAGCATACTAGCACTGTCACTCAACCGGAGTTATGAACAAACTTCGGTTGTGAGCCGTTCTAGACGTTTAAAACCTTCTTCACTCCCCCACTCCATAACCATTGGTTCTCGTAAGATGGAAAATAATAGTTATTGATGACTAATTTCCCCCATTTGCCCGATCGCTTAAAATGGGGGGAGGGGAGGGATTTGCTTCATTCACCGAGTGGTTTACGACACTTTTGAGCCTTCAAGAATTTTCAGCCCTACGCCCATCTTAGACCCCATTCAGCAGTGTCATAACCCCTTACCTTTCCAATTGTCTCGAACAATTACCATTACGAACAGTTACCATTCAAATATTGAGGAAGCTAATCGCATGTTCATAAAACTGGGATTTAGCATTAAAAATTTTCTTATTCTAAACTTATTTTAGATTTTTATTTATTATGCAAGTATGTGTTATGGATATTATTCAAATACATATTATTTGATTTTATATATATATAAAGGACACCGGAGATGAAAGGACACCGGAGCCTTCTCTCTGGAACTTCGGGAAAATTCGTAAAATCGTAATTAAAGTTTACAGTCGTAATTAAACAATTTGCCGTCATTCTGTCCAATTGTACTTGTTTGCGATTTGTTATAATAAACTCGGGCTCAAGGCGACCATCAGTCGCCGAACGTAACCGCGGTCAACGGGACGGGCTCTTCGCCTAACAAAGGTGCGGAGTTATAGTATGACCCTCATTAAAAGAAATACCAATGGAGGTACGTGACAATAAAACATTCCAATGGTTCATTCGGACAATGAATACCAGATGTCGAGGCACTTGCACAGCACAAGTTCAGTTAGCCTGAGGACCC